AGGCTGGGAGAGATCCTGATGAGTAATACAATAAAATTGGGTATACGCATACCCCATGCTTGGTATTGCTGGCAGACAAAAATATAGCTAATAAAAAAAAAAAAGGTCTCATAGATTAAGTTACTCTAATCTTGCCTAAAAGAATTTCAAGTGCCACAGCTATTGAGAATTCCCTCTTGTTAACTGATGAGCTACCATACAATTATGCTATTTTGGCAGTTAAGCCATTTGATTTCCTAATTATTTTAACAATTAAGATAAATTACTGCCAAAACATTTTTATAGTTGAGGTACATATACATGATTTCTAAGTCATCAGTTAAGAAACAAGACATTTTAACAATTGAGCTACATATTTAAGTAGCTTTCTCAGTTGAACTACATAAGGGCTGATCAACTGAGATAAGTGTACACCAATTTGTTTTAAATTAAAGATATATATAACATTTAGTTTAGAAAAATACTAACCTTTGGGGCAAACTCCAAGGTAAAGAGTTTCCTTACATCTTCACTGGCACTGAAAAACAACATATTTTCAGTGAAACTAAATACATTCATACATTGTCCAAAAATGTCTAAATATAGTAAAATCTGTTAAATATAAACATATAGAGTACCAGTTCTTAAACAACAATTTTTATTGTACTTCATATAAATTTACATGCAAAAAAACATTTAATTCCAGACTTATTGGGATACTTTTGGGCACTGTTACAATTTATTGTTTTTTTCAGGACTGCTTTTTTTTTTATTAACTCTTTCACACCTAGATGAAAATCAATCAATAACAAAAGTATTATTTAATCTTATAGATAGAAATTTTTAAAAATCACAGTTTGATTTTGGGTTGATTTCAGTGAGCTCCCAAAGAAATCATTAGTGCTTGTGAATTTTCTGAATTTTTTTAGCATAATATGGCACTAATAGTGCTCTAGGAGGAAAGTTATAATAGTTTTTAACAAAATAGCACTAATTCATTATTTTAGCTTGAATACAATTGTAGTCTTATTGATTTTTAGTCAATTACAGTGCTTGGTCTCAGTTGTTATGATGTGATGTAATTTCCTATATCTAAGCTTAGAGGAGTCAAAGTTCTTTTTCTCTTCTTTTGAACTGTAAGAGATAATAAGGATTCCAGTTCAGTAGAGATCAGAACAATGTAATAAAAGCTTCACTTGGTGATACATTGCTAAAAGAAAAGTTGTTTGTGAATAACTTTTGCTACAATTACACTCCTGATTATTTTTTTAAAAAGCTTGCTTTATCATTTTATACTTTAGTTAAATTATGATGTTGAAGTATGATAGGAAAAGAAATACTTTTGTGAAACAAGAAAAGGTAGGCTTAGTTAAATAATTTTTTACTCAACTTTATCAAGTTTCACCAATAAGACTACAGTTAGACCTTTCATTAAGCCATATCAGCCTAAGCTTTCTGTACTATGTAAAAATAAGAGTACAATACCATATATAGAGAATTATTTAGTCATTCATTCAGTTTAGCAAGATACTGGGTGATACATTTCAGTGTTAGTAGTGAGAGTTATTACATCTATTCAGTTGCTCAGGCAGTTAGCATATTTTATTATTGGGTGATTAGTGAGAGCAAATTTAAGTATGTTTGTTTGTGAAGTTAGGCCTACAAGTGAAAATAGCCAAGTGTTAAATAAGAATAAACTAACTAGACTAAGCATTATTTTGACCAAATAATCAAAAAAGAACTTAACCAACAATAGAATACATTACAACACTAGATATACCACTTTAATAGCAAGACACCTATTAACACTTTTAATTGTCTTTAACAGACAAATGTATTGCTGACGTTAAAGATGGTGGCGGAATTATGACGGTTTACACACAAACTAATATTTTCATTATCATGACAATGGATGCAATAAAAAATAAAATAAAGACTGCTTTGTAGCCTTACGTCTTTAATTCTTCAGATATTTCAAAACCTGGTCTAAGCTGTTTGTAGTCCACTGATCCAAGATTTTGTTCCAAGTCACCTGTAATTATCGAGACTTTAAAAATTTATTTAAATTGGTGTTAAAGTAACAATTATAAATAGAAGTATATATATTTATTGTTTGTTTGTTTTGGTGCAAAGCCACATTGGGCTATCAGCAGTGTCCACCTCAAGAAATTAAACCCTGAATTTTAGCACTGTAGCTTCATAAACTTAATGCTGAACTACTGAGGAGTATTTATTTCTAAACCATAATATGAATTTCTACAAACCTATTTCTGATTATACACAGATGAGAAACTGTTTATTGGAAGTAGCCTCTTTATAAACACACTTTTTTTTTAACCTTTAGCTTTAAAACAATAAAATATTTTGTTTTAAAGACTTAATATGAAAATGGTGAAGAAAACCAGAATGCTAGAGCTAGGAAATTAGTGTAATTTTCTAATTATTGGGTTTGTTAACTGATTATATTCAATTTATCAATTACTCTCAATGAGATGGATAAAATGGAAAACAAAAAATGAGATTTCAATACTCATGATTGGCAGACCAAAAACAGCCCATTGTGTAACTCTGTGTAACCAGAAACTTTAATTTCAATCAGTCGATTATTTCTGCGAGTCATGACAATAATTGATAAATGAATCAAAAATTATAATTAAAAATCATAATTGCAATATTTTAATTCAGGATAGTTGGAATAATTAAAAACATTTGTAACTGGAAATGCTAATTGATTATTTTTGCAACATTAATAGATTTAATCATAATTTCATGCAACACTAATTTATGTAGTCACACTGCTCTACTATATGCTAATTCTAGTTGGCAAGCTGATTATCCTAAAGATATCTTTTTAAAATAAAAGCAAATAACAGTATATATATATATATGTATATTTCTACATAAAACACCACATTCCCTTGTTCTTTGAAAATAAAACATTGCAACAAGGATAATTTCTTGACCAGCTTCTAATTTCTTATTTTTTGCAGCTTCCTGAACAAAACAGTGAATCTCTTTACTTATACATTGAAGTTCAAGAATTCACGACGTAAATACTGCTGCCTTAATCAAGTAAATAAGCATAAGCTGAAAATACAGTGGTGTTTATGACCAAAAATATTGTTAAATGTGACAATATCCAACTGATGAAACAATGCATTTTTATTTCTATCAATAAAAATGTAAGGAAAGTGTGTGTAATTAGATATATTATTACCAGTCAAGATAAGGCACATTAGAAAAATATAAGAACAAACATGTAAGTAGGTAACTTGTTCTGGTCAGAAGTTCATATGTCAGTGATAAATTTAAGCCTATATTTTTTTTTACTTCTGGCTATTCTTTTAAATGTTCTAAAAGACTATAATGAGGTACATAAGAAATATAAGAGCCAGGTCTTTTTCATACTCCATATACGTATATATGCATGTAGAAAAACATACAGCATTTAAATTTTGCAAGTCACCAATAAAGTTTCCAGAAATTTATAATACGACTAAGAGCCTGAACTTTGAGTTAAAACAAGCATGAAGTAGAAAAACTAATATTGCTACTAACACTGTAACAGTAACACTAACAGTACTATAACTAGTTAAGAGTACCTGAATTAAATATGTGGGGTTTCTTTTCAGGCCGAGTCCATGAAACAGGTAGTTTATCTGTTGGCCAAGTCAACCATTTCAATCCCCTGGTACTATGAATACGTGGATCTAAAGATCTTAACCTAGGTAAAGTTAAACTCACGGATGTCCCAGTAGGCAAAATACTAAACTGTTTCAAGCATTTCCATTTACCGTTATCCTCTATCTTTTCTTGCAGACTATATAAAGCACATTTATCTTTAATGCTGAGGTTACTTGTTCGGCTAAGTATCTTGCTAAATTTACGAAAGTCGGATAGTGGTAGCCAAGTATTTGTCTCATACTTCATCACGTTATTGGAGAAGTTAAATTCTGTAGCAGTGGCTCTACTAGTACTAGTGCTAGGTCTAATGTTATTGCCACCAGACAGGTTTTTTAAATTTGATGAAAAGCAATATAATTTTTTCGAACTGTAGACTTCAAGTTTAATGCCAGCATTGGCCTTGAAAAAAGAGTTAAGGCAAAATACTTTTGAAACTGACATTTCCTTAGATATTCGTTGAAATCGATTATCAAAAACACGAACAACCATTCTTTCGTGCTGCCCTCTCTCCAATCGATATAAACTAATTCTATTAAATACATATTTTTTTTTTGTGCATCTTTGTTGACAAAGAAATAGATTTGTTATAAAGCACAAAGGTACATAAAGGGCTATCTGTGCTCTGCCCACCACGGGAATCGAAATCCGTTTTCTAGCTGTATAAGTCCGCAGATATACCGTTGTGCCACTGGGGAGCTATATTGACTAACTAAAAGGTAAAGATTTTTATTTTAGTTGAATAACCACACTATACGACTACTGGTAATATGAAGATACCATTCATATATTCGTAAAAAACGAAGGTTAAAGTTGTACATTTCCGTAGAGTAAGGGGCCAAGCATATGTTAATGGTTAACGTGCCGAAGTGTAGATCAAAGGATTCGGGGTTCTCGTACTGTTGTCGCAACATTATTATCTGCATTCTATTCCTGATCTGAGTAAAGTTCTATAGTACCTCAAATTTTCAACAAACTCACTGATTTTAGATTTAGATTTTAGATCTAACTCACTGTTAGATTTTCTGGTTCTTGGTTAGGAACAGCACAAGCTACTGGGCATCAATGCTAGATTATGACATCCTGAAGCCCTAACCTATGTCAAATTTAAGAGGCCCCATACGACAATAGAATTGAAATAGAGTATTTTTTTTCTTGTTTAGAGGCGGCTAAGACGCCCCATATATTTTGAAGTCCTAAGCTGTAGCTTAGTTAGTTTATGCCTTTATCCGACACTACTTTGGGCCATGATGTATTTATTTTCTTTGTTATTGTGTGGTGAAAGACCAAAGAAACAGAAATATATCACGTGGTGCTCCAACACAATTAAGATTGCTGTAATTGCCCATGTTGTTTCTTTGGTATATCTTTTTGACCACAGCATAGATCACACAACTTACACTGATACTCTACATATTTACTGCAGCCAACCAAATAGAAGCCTTCTTTTACTTTCTCCAGTGTATTCTTAAGATTCAAGTGTCCGTCTATTGAAAAGTTGTGGATATGATGGAGCGTTTCTGACTGTGATGACTACGGAAATACCAACTGTAGTTTCTTTTCAGTGATATCTTCTCATTTCAGATATTTAGAAGCTTTCTTGTAGGCATAATAAATCACACTGTGCCCAGTACATCTTTGAGCTATATGAATCCACTGTGCCACTGAATAACTGGTTTCATATTCTTGCCTAAGCACCTTTCAGTTGAATGTTGAATCTTATTAGTTATTCATCATCACTTTCGAGTATTTTATCTTGGATTCTACCCTGTTAGACTTCATCTTTGTCGTCTTTACTATTTTGTGCTTCCCTTTTTTCAGAGCTCACATTCGTCATAATGATAAGGTCTTTAGGATAATGTATTAGTATTTCCATGGTTCCTTTCAGGGTGATACACTCCTGAAGTTTGTGAAGTCGTATCGCTTTGTGGCCTTCTGGACTGTAGATATTCACCAACTACTTTAATACTGCATGTTTTATATGGAGTGTAAACTTCTTTTAACCACATAGGTAATGATGGAAGTGACTCGATCTTGAACAATACTGTTACGACAGCGGAAGTCGCGTGACACTGGGAGCATGCGCGCTGGAGTTTCTTGAATTATCGAGAAACCCCTCGAATGTCCAAGTGTTTGCTAGACGCCCTCATTTTTAATGTATAAGCCTGGCGAGAAAAACCAGCGGGATTGAAGAGATAGATAATTGAGTCAAGTGAACAGTAGGCACCGTAAGTAAAGTGTCTGAATCACTGTGATTTATAGCGTGAGTTATAAAGGTTATTAAGTTTAAAGTGATTATGGAAATTCTGTGTATTACTAAAAGTTGTATCGAGAAT